GCTCTCGATTCTTTGATAGGCATATGTTGCGATGGTGAACCAGCAAATACAGGCGTGAAAAATGGTATTTTACGTCGATTTGAAATTCAGTTAAACAGGCCACTGCATTGGTTTGTGTGTCTTCTCCACTTTAACGAACTTCCACTTCGCCATTTATTTAACTATTTGGAAAAATCATTGACCACTGGACCACGAACAAAAACTGGAATATTAAGCAAACAAATTGAAACATGCGAAAATATACCGGTGAGTTATAACATATTTACTATTTTTTAATACCCTATGTTCAAATTCAATATAATTTATTTTTTCCTATATACTTCCAGCCGGTAAAAGACTTTGAAACAATCCCACTTGAAAATTTGGCTGATATAAGTCCTGCTGAATCGACAACTGACTCAAGTTATTTAATAAAAATAGCTAAAGCAGTTGCTTCTGGAGAAGTATCGACAGGCTTAGCTAACATGAAACCAGGGCCAATAGCACATTCCCGTTGGCTCACGAAGGCTAGTAGGTTACTTCGGTTATATGTAACTACTAATAAGCCATCCAAAAATTTGAAAATTCTGGCAAACTACGTAATGAAAGTATATATTCCAATGTACTTTAACATTAAATATTACAACTCTGTGGTGTATGGTAGTATATTATTTTATAAATTTATTAGCTGGACGCAATATTTAGACTCGAATTTAAGACAAATTGTGAACAATGTTGCTAAAGAAAACGCATACTATGCTCACTCGGAAAATATTTTATTAGCAATGTTGTTTGATAATAAAAAGGAAATACGAGATTCAGCTATAAGAAAAATCTTATATTACCGTAATAATGTGGAAGACCTGACGCAATTGAGAGATTACAAAACACCCGAAATAAATTTCGAATGCACCGACTATACTAATATGATAGATATGGATGATTATTCAAATATATCCGAACCAGCCTTTACGCTAAATATTCCTCATGAACATCTAATACAATATCTACAAAGCAATGAGTGTCCATGGAGTGACCCTAAAATTCCGGTCTACATTCAGGGAACTGAGAGACATGTTCAATTACTGGCTAATGTATCGAAACGCGTATTAGAGCAAAATCGCGAAGGTGTTATGATAGCGACACTACTATCTCGTGAAAAGCATCCTCGACTGGAAAGCAAGCAAGATTTCAGATATTAATTTATTTAAATTGTATTAGCTAAATGTAAGAAATTTTATTTTAAATAAAAATGTAACTTAAAGAAATAAAAATGTTTTATTTAAACCATGTCATGTAAATAAATAATAGAATAAATATATGTCATTCCTAAAAACCCAAAAAACAATATTTTTCTACAAAAGTAGTTTGACCTGTTTCGATGCATGATTCTAGGTTAGGCTTACTCGCAAATGTCCCCTAGAAGTTTACTTGATGTAGTCTGATGTACCCGTAAGTTACTGATTTCAAAAAGCCGGAAAATGTTTTTAACCTGTTTCGATGCATGATTCTAGGTTAGGCTTACTCGCAAATGTCCCCTAGAAGTTTACTTGATGTAGTCTGATGTACCCGTAAGTTACTGATTTCAAAAAGCCGGAAAATGTTTTTAACCTGTTTCGATGCATGATTCTAGGTTAGGCTTACTCGCAAATGTCCCCTAGAAGTTTACTTGATGTAGTCTGATGTACCCGTAAGTTACTGATTTCAAAAAGCCGGAAAATGTTTTTAACCTGTTTCGATGCATGATTCTAGGTTAGGCTTACTCGCAAATGTCCCCTAGAAGTTTACTTGATGTAGTCTGATGTACCCGTAAGTTACTGATTTCAAAAAGCCGGAAAATGTTTTTAACCTGTTTCGATGCATGATTCTAGGTTAGGCTTACTCGCAAATGTCCCCTAGAGGTTTACTTGATGTAGTCTGATGTACCCGTAAGTTACTGATTTCAAAAAGCCGGAAAATGTTTTTAACCTGTTTCGATGCATGATTCTAGGTTAGGCTTACTCGCAAATGTCCCCTAGAAGTTTACTTGATGTAGTCTGATGTACCCGTAAGTTACTGATTTCAAAAAGCCGGAAAATGTTTTTAACCTGTTTCGATGCATGATTCTAGGTTAGGCTTACTCGCAAATGTCCCCTAGAAGTTTACTTGATGTAGTCTGATGTACCCGTAAGTTACTGATTTCAAAAAGCCGGAAAATGTTTTTAACCTGTTTCGATGCATGATTCTAGGTTAGGCTTACTCGCAAATGTCCCCTAGAAGTTTACTTGATGTAGTCTGATGTACCCGTAAGTTACTGATTTCAAAAAGCCGGAAAATGTTTTTAACCTGTTTCGATGCATGATTCTAGGTTAGGCTTACTCGCGAATGTCCCCTAGAAGTTTACTTGATGTAGTTTGAAATTATATATAAATACTGAATATTTTGTTAAAAAGGAAATAAATATACTGAATATTTTATTATAAAAGAATCGAAATATTTATAGGTTGGAAGTTACTAATTATTTAGAGTATATTACAAAAATTAAATAAAAATAGCAACTTGCACGTATTTTGCACATTGACAACTTACACGTATTCTGCAAATTGACAACTTGCACGCATTCTGCAAATTGACAACTTGCACGTATTTTACACATTGACAACTTGCACGCATTTTGCATTATAGATAACTTATACGTACTTTGCTTATTAGCAACTTGTACGCATTTCCAAGAAATTTAGCAAAAAACATTCTCCCTATTTAGAATTTAATGAATTATATCATATATTTATATTAAAAAATTATGAAAAGTTTCTCTTAAAAACATATATTTCGTAAACTTACAAAATATTTATAACTATTCTCTTGACATTATGGTTATTGAAAGAAATAATGAATATTTCTAGTATTGGAATTTGTCGATAAGTTTTGATTTACGTGCTGACTCACGCACGTTGTACAAAATAGCTAGGTAGATACCGAAGAAGTGTCACATGTACAGCATGTACAAGTTTTCGACTGTCAAGCCTACTGATTGTGGCATGGTGCAATGCGACGGCTTAAGGCTTATGCTCTAATAGCGTGGGGTGACGTCAAGCCAACATGACGAATCCCCAAGCCAAGGGCTGAGTCTCAACGGATCGCAGCGTGGTAACTGCTCTGCCGAGTACAACACCCCGCCAGGTACCTAAGTCGTTTACAAACGATTCCGAGTCTCTACATCGAACTAGTAACCCATGATCGACCGCTATAGGCAAGACAGATATAACGGACGGATATCGCCCCTGTCCAGCGCCTCATTCGGCTAAAAATGGCTCGTGCGATAAACGGCGTGTGCCGAATACCTAATAAATCACATTGTATTGAGCCTTTCGACTCACGAGACTCCTAGAGATATCGTTGCTTACTTTGTCTAGAAAGGATACGGCCTTAGAGGCGTTCAGGCATAATCCCACGGATGGTAGCTTCGCACCACCGGCCGCTCGACCGAGTGCGTGAACCAAATGTCCGAACCTGCGGTTCCTCTCGTACTGAGCAGGATTACTATCGCAACGACGATTCATCAGTAGGGTAAAACTAACCTGTCTCACGACGGTCTAAACCCAGCTCACGTTCCCTATTTGTGGGTGAACAATCCAACGCTTGGCGAATTCTGCTTCGCAATGATAGGAAGAGCCGACATCGAAGGATCAAAAAGCAACGTCGCTATGAACGCTTGGCTGCCACAAGCCAGTTATCCCTGTGGTAACTTTTCTGACACCTCTTGCTGAAAACTCTTCAAGCCAAAAGGATCGATAGGCCATGCTTTCGCAGTCCCTGTGCACACTGAACAACGGGATCAAGCCAGCATTTGCCCTTTTGCTCTACGCGAGGTTTCTGTCCTCGCTGAGCTGGCCTTAGGACACCTGCGTTATTATTTGACAGATGTACCGCCCCAGTCAAACTCCCCGCCTAGCAGTTTCCTCGAATCGGATCACGCTAGAGTATTGTTGGCGATCGGCGCAATGGCTCACACCACTCTTATGCGCTTGGCTCTAGAAAACCGTGACAGTCGGAACGCAAGTTTTCGACGCACGCTTTCCGCCCAATCGAGTAAGTAAAGAAACGATGAAAGTAGTGGTATTTCACCGACGATATTACTATCTCCCACTTATGCTACACCTTTCATGTCTCCTTACAATGCCAGACTAGAGTCAAGCTCAACAGGGTCTTCTTTCCCCGCTAATTTTTCCAAGCCCGTTCCCTTGGCAGTGGTTTCGCTAGAAAGTAGATAGGGACAGTGGGAATCTCGTTAATCCATTCATGCGCGTCACTAGTTAGATGACGAGGCATTTGGCTATAAAACTGTCCCAAAGTGGGACACTTCCTGGTATGATATTGACCAGTCGCGATTAAGACGCTTGATTTCCTCGTGACAAGAGTACCGTGTCAAGACATCGGCACCCTAACTGCCACGATTTAATCAAGCGTCTATAGTGACGCAGGATTAACAAGATTCACCTCTGCACTATCACCCTCCATCGAAATCACCACCGGATGTGGCAAGGAAAAACCACCAGTACTGGAGTTCAGTAACAGCAATGCGGATCGCTACTGATCCAATTCAGCACTGATGTAGAGGATCCCTCGCAGGTTATTTCCGCAACCTACTTCTTTAGGGAACAGCAGAATTTAGTCAGTGTCCGATCGCACGGCATACCCCAGAGTTGGAATATGACATGCCATCGGAAACCGTCCACGGGGCACCGCGTGGAGGTATCTGCTGCCTTTGACAAACGGGATGTTGTTGTTTGTCAAATGCCTCACAAAAGCCAGAAGGGCTATAACACATAACATAAAAGTGGACAACACAGACAACACAATGGGCCTCCCGTGATTGTTTCCTCTGCGTTTAGTGTAAGAATAAAAATTTAAAGAAACCCGTAGCTCCGACACATACGGGTACGCTTTGGAAGTTCACCGCCCGGCAGTTAGAATTAAATATCGTTTTAGGTAAAATCATATTCATTGTTATTTGCATGGTGACTATTGGTGTCTTGCACTTAGCCGTCTAAAAACCTATTGCTCATTTCTATTGATGTTCTTAATGCAACCAGTACTGATGTTAAGCCAGTGTGTTTGGGGCGTTTGGAGAGAAGGGATAAGTTTGATAGGGTTTTGGGGGGTAGGGAACCACGGGATCCCACAACTATCGGGAGAACCCGACAGTGTGTTGCTCCGGTGATATTGAGTACCTCTGGGTAGAGGCACTCATATTTAAGGATTTTCTCCATATTCGCTTTTCCGAGAGAATTTCCCTGCTCAAGTCTGACTGTAACGTCGACGATATATGATTCCTCAGCATCCCATAGGATGAGGTCGGGCTTTAACCGTTTTCCATCAACTGTAAATGGTGATTCAATCATATAACGCCCAGCAGGGTGTTTATCGATAAATTCACTTCGACATAGAGACACGATTTCGTTGTGTCTGTGAATTCTCTGCGGCTTTACGAATGTACACTGGCCTAGTACATGTCCAAGGGTCTCATTGGCAGAATGGCATCGTCGGCATGTTATGTCGCTCATTGGTGTTGCGCGAGCAAGTGCTGCTCGACAACCAAATGTGTTGCTGCGAAGTCGAAGAGCATCGATATAGCGAGAGTTACCTTTGAGAAGGTGGGGCTTCCAGAGCCAGGAGTTTCCAATAGTGTCCTTTCGGAACATTGTTGCGGGACGCGCAACTCGCCCATCTTCGGAACTCGTCCTCGACAGCTCTTCGCTTCGCGCTTTCAATGGCCTTTATGTTGAGCGGGCCTCTAATATTTGCGCGATGTGCCATTTCAGCAACTCTATTGCTTACATTGCTCTGCTCCCATAGTGCTTCTAATACTGGGTCTCCAGAATCTCGACATCTAGCCATTGATTTTAGGAAAGAGTAAAAAGCAACTCTTTCCAATCGAGGTAGGCCGAGTCCTCCATTTCCTGGGGAGGTATGCAGGAAGGCAGAGCTAGTAGAATGAGGGAGATGGAAAATTTCCCTCGTAAAGTTGCGAAGTGCCTTGTCTAACCCTTGTAGGTCGCCTTGAGATGGTGGGTCTACGGTTAGCCGGTACAAATAGTGCGGGATGATAAATCGCTTAAGCAGTTCCAGTTTCTGAGTGGGCTTAAGTCTCAGTTTCTTGATGTTAGGGAGACAACCATGGAGGTCGCCCACTACTTTTTTGTGTTCACCCTTTCCAGGGTGAGAATCTCAGTCCAAGGTAGTCAAAGTGCCCATCCGGACCACATTGAGGAAGCATTTTACCGCTTATCTCAACTTTAGGGTCCAGAAGTATCCATGACTTCCCTCGAACCGATATCTGGAAACTGCTGCATTTTTCAACCGCAACATGCATACCAAGATCACTTAAAAATTGGGAGGTCATGTTCAGCTTTTTCTGAAGATCCTGCGGTGTTCTACCGAAAACCACAAGATCGTCAGCGAAAGCCAGAACAGAGACGCTCTGGGAACCAATACTGATTCCTTCTCCCGTGCTCTCAAGTTGTTCGAGAAGGGGGTCCAAGACACAGTTAAACAACAGCGGGGAAAGCGGGTCACCCTGCTTAACCCCTCGTTTAATGTTAACTGCAATCTTATCATTCCCCGATTTGATCTCGGTGTAGATGTTTTCGTGCATGGACATTACCAGTTCTCTTGTGTGATTGGGTAATCCTAGTCTTGTCAAAGCGTCTTTGATTGCTGCATGTGGGATCATGTCAAACGCTTTAGATATGTCTGATACGGCACATGACGCTCCTTTATGTGTCTTGGCAAACTTTATAATTTCGCTAAGTGCGAAAATGTTATTAAAACAGCCATTTTCAAGGGTGAAGCCCTTTTGGCGTTTGTTGATAGTTATGCAATTCCGGAATCCTTTCTCAATGATTCCGGAAAAGAGTCTTGCCAAGAGCGATCCAATCGTAATTGGGCGCCAGTTCTCCGCCTTGGAGCAATCTTTGCCTCTCTTGGGTATAAGAGTTGTTGAGCAGACCCTCCAGGACTTTGGAAAGTACCCGGACCAGACAATTAAATTAAAGAGACGGGCCAACACGGCTTCCGTCCCTTTGAGCCTGGTGAGATCTGCTTTTCTTACACCACTTGGTCCCACAGCTTTCTTAGCGTTAATGCGCATAACTCGCTCCCGAATGTTGTTGGGAGTTATAATTGGGATGCTATCAAGCACAGACACTTCTGGTCTTGGATCGTTGTAGGAGAAACTACCTTTCCACTCAGTTCCCCAAAGACCGTCATACAGTGACTTGATATCCCCTGTTGGTGGACGAATGTTGTTGTCCACCGCATTAAGAGAGTCATAGTTACTCCCGCCGTTTACCCGCGCTTGCTTGAATTTCTTCACGTTGACATTCAGAGCACTGGGCAGAAATCACATTGCGTCAACACCCGCTAGGGCCATCGCAATGCTTTGTTTTAATTAGACAGTCGGATTCCCCTAGTCCGTGCCAGTTCTGAGCTGACCGTTGAATGGCGGCCGAAGAGTACGACTGACCGACCGAAGCCGGCACAGAAACCTCGCAGCAAGAAAGATCCGCGGGGGGCCTAGACACGGGACCGAGCTCGGATCTAAGTCACAAGGACAATTTCACCTTGCCCAGGCTCGCACATCGCCTACGCCGTTTCCCACCAAGCCCGGCAGCCCCGATCCTCAGAGCCAATCCTATCCCGAAGTTTACGGATCCAATTTGCCGACTTCCCTTACCTACATTTATCTATCGACTAGAGGCTCTTCACCTGGAGACCTGCTGCGGATATGGGTACGAACCGGCGCGACACCTACCGTGGCCCTCTCCTGGATTTTCAAGGTCCGAGGGGAAGATACGGACACCGCCACAACTGCGGTGCTCTTCGCGTTCCAAACCCTATCTCCCTTCTAGAGGATTCCAGGGAACTCGAACGCTCATACAGAAAAGAAAACTCTTCCCGTATTTCCCGACGGCGTCTCCAGGTCATTTTGGTTACCCCGACGAACTCTCTTGCGAGGGCCCGACTTGTAAACGGTTCCGCTGCCGGGTTCCGGAATAGGAACCGGATTCCCTTTCGCCCGATGGGTGTGAAATTTTATTCAAAATAAAATACACCGACATCAACATAGGATTTTCTCCTGGGCTTAGGATCGACTGACTCGTGTGCAACGGCTGTTCACACGAACCCTTCTCCACGTCAGTCCTCCAGGGCCTCGCTGGAGTATTTGCTACTACCACCAGATCTGCACCGATGGCGGCTCCAGGCAGGCGTACGCCCAAACCCTTCTCTGCGCACACCACCGCGACCCTCCTACACCCAGGGCGTCAAAACAACTATTATGAACGTTTCTCATGCCCTGGCGGCCGAGTATAGGCACGACGCTTCAGCGCCATCCTTTTCAGGGCTAGTTGCTTCGGCAGGTGAGTTGTTACACACTCCTTAGCGGATTCCAACTTCCATGGCCACCGTCCTGCTGTCTTAAGCAACCAACGCCTTTCATGGTATCCCATTAGCGTCGTTTAGGCGCCTTAACTCGGCGTTTGTGTTCATCCCACAGCGCCATTCTGCTTACCAAAATGGCCCACTAGGCACTCTGATCCAAATCTCTGGCTTCACTATTTCAAGCAAGCCAGAGATCTCACCCATTTAAAGTTTGAGAATATTTGAGGTCGTTTCGGCCCCAAGCCTCTAATCATCGCTTTACCGGATGAGACTCGCTCATCGAATGCCAGCTATCCTGAGGGAATTCGGAGGGAACCAGCTACTAGATAGTTCGATTAGTCTTTCGCCTATACCCAGTTCCGACGATCGATTTGCACGTCAGAATCGCTACGGTCCTCCATCAGAGGGTTTCCCTGACTTCGACCTGACCGGGCATAGTTCACCATCTTTCGGGGTCCCAGCGTGTACGCTCTGGGTGCGCCTCTTCTCGCAATGAGAGTGAGACGCCCCGGTTGCGAGCACGCATCCGTAGATGCGGTCCGTCATCCCTCATTCTCTTAAGCGCAAACTTTACTTTACTTTCATTGCGCCCTTTAGGTTTTGTATTTCCCAATGACTCGCGCACATGCTAGACTCCTTGGTCCGTGTTTCAAGACGGGTCCTGAAAGTACCCAAAGCAATAGCATCGCTGACCGGTAATAGAGTCCGTTCGAGAAACACGGTAGCTAACACTCGAGGCGGCATCGATGCCGGACTAGGTCCCGACGGCCAATCCCGTCCGTGCTTGCAACCGGCCGAACGCTTAAAAGCGACCCTATACCATATCATTTATACCGTCTGGCAGTCGGCCGGAGCACGCGGGGTCTGGCGCGAATAAGTCCGTGACAGGCTACCGCCGCGGTCGTAGATCGACACCAAACGGGTCGCGACGTCCTACTGAG